CAGGAAGAAAACATCTTGTTCATCATAAACATTCAAAATGGTTTTCATTAAAAATTATCTTAGCAGTTGGGCAATGCTGTCAACACAGCTGTAGCATTTTCAGTTTATTTTACAGCTGGATTTAGTATTTTTAGAATACCTTGTCAAATCCTGGATCTTCAGATTGGGAAGCTTCTTGATCTACCTGAAAGCAGCATAGACTCACTGATAATTTTTTAACAATTCTTATTCAGAACGAGTATTTTTTGGACTTTCCTAACTTACAGAAACTGCAAGAGAATTGGAAAGACAGGCCACGCTGCTCAAATCACAAAACAGAGAAACATTTCTTCATCATAACTCATCACTGAGAACTCCATGTGCCTGAAGACAAACATCTACCCACAAAAATCATCTCCTACAAATAACAGTGCTCCCTCCATAAACCTGTATTTATTTTTTTGCTTGCCAAGGAGAGAAGAGCAACAGGTGCAGCAAACAGTTTTTTGTTATTGCCCTCACATAAGCTGAGTTATTCAACGTATCCAATATTTGGAGCGCATCTCTGCCCTCAGCACAAAAGAGATCTTGCTCAAACTATGGATGGTTGCTCATCTCTTCAAATAATCCTTCTCAAGTTGTCTTGTTTGCCTGGAAAACCTGTGGCTTATATTAGCCCTAAAATAGTTCAAATATCCATAAACCCTAATTCTTAGAAATATCTCTACTCCCCCTAATACACACAGACTTGTGTATGAGAGTTGGTAAGACATTGTTATACTTGACCAAAAAAAGCCTTGATTAGCACTCTACTTTCCCCCATAGGCTCCCCAGCAACGGTGAAATCACCACCTAAAGGTACATCACACATTGTGAAATCTTTTCAAACAAGCCATGGTATGTGGGAGAGAGAATTAAAGTGTTTTAAAGGTTTATCTGAGGTTAACTAACAAGTGGCAGTTACATCAGTGGTCAAGTTTAATTATAACAATTGAAAGCCAAGTACCTACAAATCCAAGTGAGTTTTCAGAGAGCAGGGTTGTTTTAAACACAAGAAGATAGAAAGTGCTGCTTTACAACTTACCAAGCTTCTACTTGGAGCTGCTTTCAGCTCTAGGCATGTCCCAAACATCCTTTTATTAGAATAATTCTTTCCCACTGCCACATTCACTTCGACATTTTTGCTACAGAGTCCCACCACTGTGTGCACAATTACACATCTCCTCAATTTTAGCATGTTCATCTTTTTTCCATTTCTAACCAGGTGTTAGGTCACAGATTGCCAGAGTTGTCATGGTTGGGAAGGACCTCTGAGATCACAGAGTCTAACCATCAACACAAAAAAAACCCAAACATAACCAATCACACACACTCCACCAAAAAGCATCCACAAAAACCCCACAACCTTGGCCACTAGAGCATGTCCTGAAGTGCCACGTCTACACATTTCTTGAACACCTCCAAGGATGGTGACTCTACCACCTCTCTAGGCAGGCTGTTCCAGTGCCTGACCACTCTTTCAGTAGAGAAATTCTTCTTCATATCCAATCTGACCCTCCCCTGCTGCAACTCTGCAACTTCAGGCCATTTCCCCTGGTCTTGTCATTATTTACACCCAGGAGAAGAGGCCAACACCCACCTCCCCACAGCCTCCTTTCAGGTAGTTGTACAGGGCAATGAGGTCTCCCATATATCACCTCTTCTGCAAACTAAACATCCCCAGTTCCCTCAGCTGCTCCTCATACAACTTGTGCTCCAGACCCTTCCCCAGTTTGGTGTCTCTCCTTTGGACATGCTTGAGCCCCTCAAAGTCCTTCCTGTACTGAGGGACCCAGAACTGCACCCAGTGCTCGAGGCGCAGCCTCACCAGTGCCCAGTACAGGGGCATGATCACCTCCCTGGTCCTGCTGGCCACATCCTTCCTGATACAGGTCAGGATGCTGTTGGCCTTCTTGGCCACCTGGGCACACTGCTGGCTCATGTTCATGGTCAATTTATAACAAGAAATTAGGAAGCAGCTCTACTGCTCCCTCTCTCCTGACTGTAGCATATAGGGGTTTTCCATGTGCTAAACCAGAAAACAATGTTGTGTCTATGGCACTCTCCTGGTTTTCTAATGTATATGAAATTTCTTACAATAACTTACATCAAGAAACATACACAAAAATACAAAAAACACCGCTGGTAGAAACAAACCAAAACAAAAAAACCCAAACAAAAAAAAACAACAAACACAAAACCACAAAACAAAAACCAACAAACACAGCAAACCCTCTCAGCTAAATCTCTTAATCAGGTTTTTCTCCCTTCAAGGAAATGAGTGTTCTTTAAGTGCTGTGGCAGTGCCATGGGACCAGTGCTCAGTGGATTCATTTTCACTAATATGCAGTAGGTCTTGAACTGCTATTACTGCAATTCATCACTAAATGAGTCTATGCCAGCAAAATTGTATCAGCATCTCCGAAGACAGCAGTATCATCATCCTTTGGGTGAATATCATCTATGTATGCTTTTCAAGATGTCAGTACTACATTATGTGCAATTAGCAACAACAGACAGCAGTCAGCTCTGCTGGAGAGACAGGGAAAAGCCACCAGAGGAGGAAGGGAAACAGGGAGCAGCTCTAACACCCACTGGAGCTGAGGGCTCATGCTGCTCTGCCAAATCTGGGACTGTGGGGCTGCAGCTCTTCTGACCTAGGACAAGGCCCCATTATTGGTCAGAGTGCAAAATTTGGAACACTGGGGAACACAGCTCTTACCATCAAGCTCTGCATGATTTTAATGCATTACATCCATCTAAACAACACGTCGTAGATTTGGGGACAAGGGTAGAAATCATTGTTGCTAGCCTGTGACTTCCCCAAGGTGAAAGGAAATTATTGCATCAATATTTACTAAATATTCAGCAAAATGGTAATTATACCTGAGTACGTGTAAGCTTCCACAACACCAAAAATCTACATCACAGCAAAAAGCATTCAACCACATTTGCGTTAAGTCGTGCATGAATACAAGCAGCAGAGCTACAGCTTCAAGTCAGATTTCCAGCCCCAAGTTGGGAAAATGTTGAATATTACACAATGCAGAGTGCAAGCTGTACAACACAAAACAAGTTTCATGCTCCAAATGATGATTACTCTTATTTTCTAGTAAACTATTAGCAATCTCTATCAGATACAGACATATTTGTCTGTATTTAGATATAGTGCATTCAAGTTAAGCAACCCAAATTCTGCTCTGTTGACCTATATGGAGCTTAAGTAAGGACAGCAAAATGCAAGTCACTAATGCCAAAGCCTGGGTAACTCCAGTGCTGCCTATGAAATATGTAACAGAAGATGAACAGATAATAAAAAATATTTTGCACAATGGAGGATCTCAACCTGCCCTTTAAATCCTTACTGTGAAAAGTAAAAGTAATCTGGGCCCTTCTCATTATAGAACAAATCAGCAATTTCAGGAAACAAAGTACTCAATTTGCCATACAAAAATAACTCAGTGTTTTGACTCTGACAGGCCAAATGCTACACATTAGACAAGAGTTAAATGACCCTGTATCAGAGAAAATTTATATTCATTTATTAGTCAAGAGTGGCTCAGGAATTTAAAGAGCTCTCCAGAAACATTAGTGAAACAAGCAGTCACAGGCTCCTTCGAAGAGGCTTTGGAATAACATGTTCCCATGGATGGAATTCAAATGTCTTTTCACATCTTCCAGTGAATAAGGGTTGTGTCTTTTATTATCATTTCTAAGCAAAAAATAAACAAACACTGTATGTGCCTGAATGGACATTTGAAGCAAAAAGGAGATGAGAGCTTTACCCGGTCAGAGAAAACATCCTTACGCAAATAATTCTGTCTTGAAAATGCTGCCAGCAATCAGCCTCAAGGTCACAGAGTTGAGCACAAACGTATCACCTTGACTCAGAAACAATGGCAAATGAAAGCCAGTTAGCCAAAGTGATCATTGCCCAGACTATTTGCTTTTCTCCTTCTCAGAAGCTACTTCAGATCCAGTCCAGCTTTTCAGCTCAAATGAAGCAGACAGCAAATACAAGGTAGTAACAACC